CCCCCCCACAACGATCAGCATGCAAATACAGCAAGCAGACAGCGACGTCGCACCGCGGCGACAGACTCGCGGCTTTGGAAATCAAGAATGTATTATTGGTGATGATGTGAGCGTCGAGAGAGCTGCGATCTACCCGCTGATGGTCTCTGTGCGCAGGCAGGTCTTTTTGCACGTACTGTACATCGGATGGTGCCAAGGCGGTCCCTGATCGTGCAGCATCAGGAAGCAAGAGTGCATACAGCTCGCGTGCGCGGAGGGCAGCAAGTAAGAATAAGGATGCAACGAACACGGGAGAGACCAAAGTGTTGCTGGCTGGCTGGCTCTGAAACACATGCTGTAATCCTCGCTGTATGAAGCTGCGTTGCCGCAAATCGCCGATGCCGAAGGCTTTTATTTAGAGCGCGTTGCCTGCTGGACCACCTGCATGCCAAGAAAGGCTGATTTGATGCTTGCTGACTCGACTCGCTTGCCGGACTTCCATGGTAGGGGTCTTGCACCCTTTGTTGGTCAATATAGGCTAGCAGTCCTGAGTCACGACTCACGTTTTTCACTTTGAGGAGCATCGTTCTTTCCATTCCCCAGCATCGATCGCCCTTTCGATCTGCCCTTTGCAGCTTGATGTTTGCTAGACACTTCAAGTGCGCTGCTGCACAGCTCGACGCGACCGGCTGCTGCCGACGTCGAAGCCGCTGCATGTGCGATGAAATTCTTCGCTCCGTTGGAGGCATTGGTGCGGAACAACAGTTGCACGCAACAAAGTGGTAACCGCCGCGGTCGCAAAGATCGACCATGGGAGGCGTCCGCCGAGCTCAGCATCGAGCAGCAAAGCATTGCGCTATTCGTAACGTCTGATCCACGCGCTTCTTTGAGGGAAGAGCAGCAGTTTGAGGCTTCTTACTTTGACTCCGAAGGCAACCGCTCGTGCGCGTGCATGTCAGAGTGCTCGCCACGATCGTGACTCGCTCCAAATGGGTCAGGAGACTTCTATTCTGGGATATGAATGGCTGTCTGTGGTAAATGTACAGAGAAACTCGGCGAGGAAGGGACGTCTCCCAAAAAGAAGGGTATAGAGGTGAGGGCAGAGGATGGTGGCGGAAGATGTGGCCCCATCTTGATAGAGCGAGCTCGGGGGACTGCGTCGTTACATTGTACAAGGAGGTGGATTGATTAGGTGTGATAGACGATTGTTCTGAAATGAAGTAACAGCGGACTTCTTTGAGCGCGAGAGGAGAGGCAATAAGCTCAAGGTCGACCTTAGATCCAAGCGCTGTGTTGCCGACGCGGAGTAGACTCAGGAGACAGTGGAGATCGATGGTGCGGTTGGGGAGCGGCCATCCTAGAGCTTGACCTGCGCGGTTGTGCTTGCTGCGCGGGCGGCGAAGCAAAAGGTGCTCCCAAGGGCAGAGGCATTCCCGAATGGTACGACGGAGAATGAGCGGTCGAGAAGTTCTGTTGCACTTGTTGGTGAGGTACGAAGTAGCCCCCAGACGCAGAAGGTGGCAAGAAAGAGGTACGGTGATGTATCTGCTCAGGTGTGAATGGACTTGGCATCAAGTAAGCTTGATGAGGCTGGATGCCAGACATTGCGGGATGGGGCTGCTCGGTGCGCTGAATGCTACCGCGCCGGGGGTCCGCCAAGTGAGCGGGTGGCATCATCGATGAGCGATGCTGCGCACCTATGCTGCTCATTGAAGGAGATGGCAAGACGGTGGACGACCGCCCGGCCTGCTTCGGCGTAGACATCTGATTGATGTTCGCAGCGGTGGCAGAGGTGGAGAGAGCAGAAGGCGAGAGACGAGCGCTTGGACTAGTAGTCATGGAAGCGTCACCTGCGCCGTAGTTCGGGCTGTGCAGTACCGAGGTATGTGCGGTAACCTTGCGTCGCTCCCTAGCATCGCGAAGCGCTTTCTTTTGTTCTTCTTGCAAGCGCTCGGCCTCTTTCGCCCTTTGCCTCTCCTGCTCGCGCTTCAGCTGCAAATTTCTCGACTTCTCTCGATTGCGCAACTCTTGCACTTCCGCCTCGAGCTTGGCTATGCGTGTGCGTTCTGCTTCTCGTGCTCTCTTCTGGGACAGCAGAACGCCGAGAGGCAGATCTTCCTCATCGCTCGAGTCCGCGATTGCCGCTTCGTCTTCTTCTCGGAGAGACGGTGATACCGAGATGGCACTTGAACTAGTCACTCTTCTGACTGAAGGTGACGTGGGCTGAAGAGATGCGCGACTGGGAGAGCGGACTTCGAGAGATGCCTTCTGCGGAGACATAGACTGTGGAGCAGTCTCTTC